ATTGTTCCAGAGGTCTCTGAGGTTGTCCTCATTTCTTTTAATCCTTTTTTTTTCTTTTTTTCTTCTCTGCTTCACTTATTTCCACCATGCTATCTTCCACCTCACTTATCCTATCTTCTGCCTCAGTTACTCTACTGTTGGTTCCCTCCAGAGTGCTTTTGACCTCAGTTATTGCATTATTCATTATTGATTAATGCTTTTTTATTTCTTCTAAGTCCTTGTTAAACAGTTTTTGCATCTTCTCATTGTTTGTCTGTAGTCTATTTATCTGTAACTCCATTTTGTTTTCAAGATTTTGAATCATCTTTACTATCATTATTCTGAATTCTTTTTCAGGTAGACTCCCTATCTCCTCCTCTTTTGTTTGGTTTGGTGGGCATTTATCATGTTTCTTTACCTGCTGAATATTTCTCTGCCTTTTCATTTTGTTTAGATTGCTGTGTTTGGTGTGGTGTTTCTGTATGCTGGAAGTTTGTGGTTCTGCTTTATTGTGTAGTTTGCTCCCTGTGGATGGGGTTGGACTAGTGGCTTGTCAAGGTTTCCTGGTTAGGGAAGGCTGCATCAGTGTTCTGATGGGTGGAGTTGGATCTCTTCTCTCTGGAGTGCAGTGTAGTGTCCAGTAGTGAATTTTGAAGTGTCCATGGGTTTGGTGTCTTTGGACAGCCTGTATTTTAATACTCAGGGCTATGTTCCTGCATTGCTGGAGGATTAGCTTGGTATGTCTTGCTCCAGAACTTGTTGGTTCTTGGGTGGAGCTTGGTTTCAGTGTAGGTATGGAGGCTTTTGGATGAGCTCTTGTTGATTAATGTTCCCTGGAGTCATGAGTTTTCTGGTGTTCTCAAGTTTTGGATTTAAGCCTCCTGCCTCTGGTTTTCAGTCTTATTCTTACAGTAGCCTTGAGACTTCTCCATCCATACAGCACAGATGATAAAACATCTAAGTTAATGGTGAAAAGATTCCCCACAGTGAGGGACACCCAGAAAGGTTCGCAGAGTTACATGAAGAAGAGAAAAGGGAGGAGGGAGATAGAGGTGACCAGGAGGAGAAGAGGGTGAATCAAAAGGGGAGAGAGCAATCTAGCCTGTAATCAATTCCCTATTTGCTCTCCACAGTCTGGAACACTCAGAGAGGTTCATGGATTTACATAGAGAAGAGAAGAGGGAGGAAGGAAATGGAGATGACCAGGAGGAGAGGAGGGGGAATCAAAAGGAGAGAGACAGATCTAGCCAGTAATCAGTTCCCTGAGTGTTCTCCACAGCCCAGAACACCCAGAGAGATTCACAGAGTTAAGTACAGAAGAGAAGGGGGAGGGAGGAGATAGAGGTGAGCTGGGGAGAACAGGGAGAGTCAAAAGGGAAGAGAGCAATCAAGCCAGTAATCATACCCCTAAGTAAAAATGGGTACTGAAGATTAGATTCTTAGAGGTACAAAATTGATAACAAATACCAGAAAGCAAAGGTTAAAAATCTAGAGTAGAGGTTAGACTCTGAAAAATACAATATTAAAAAAAAAAAGAAAATTGCAAAAAATATAAAATCTATATATATGGATTTGCTTTAAAAATAGGGTCTTTTTCCCCCCAAGGTAATAGTAGGTTATAAAAATGAAAATTAAAGGAGTAATAAAGAACTTAAAAATTAAAAAAGATAATATTAAAAATATATCTAGGAATTTCTCTGGAGCTGTTGAGGGCAATGAGGGGTCATTTCAACTTCAGATAGTTCCTTGTTCCAGCTTATACTTCTTCTCAAGGTCTATAGGCCCCTTCCAATGTAGTCAGTGCTAACTACAGGGGTTTAATCTGTTACACCTGTCACTTCCAGACCAGTTCCCTCTTTTTTGTTTATTTTGGCTTCCTCTGTTTGCAAGTCTCTTCAGTGTCTAATTTCTGCCCTAACACAAGGGGGCTAAGGTGGTCACTTATTTAAGCTCACTTGTTCAGTTGTGCTGTGGGGAGGGAGTAACACTGCAAACAAATATCACTGGTGTGTGTGGGAAAGTGCTCACGGTGCCTGAGCCACACTGGGTTTGCCCCAGCTCACGACGTGTGTGCTTTCCCGGTCTACACTGCTCAGGCTCCAGGCTGCTCTGTAGGGAAACTGTCCAAAGCAGGCTCTGGGTTGTGTGCACTTCCCAGGTCTAAGTTGCTCAGGTTCAGGTTCTCAGGTACTCCACAGAGGCACAGACTCTGATGGGCCTGCAATTTGTCCCCTTCCCAGATCCGAGCAGCTCCAGCAACTAGGTGCTGGCAAGTGCACTCTCCCAGGTGGTCTGTGCATCTTAATCACCGCCCCCGTCTCCCAGCCACTTGGTTTCCTGGGTGTGCTGCAAAAGCACCGTCTCCGGTGTGCTGTGTGTCTCCTCTGGGGAGCTGATCTTTGACTGCGACCCTCCTGGTGGATGTCAAGCATCCAAAATCCCAGGAAGACATGGTTAGCAACTGGGAGTCTGCTCACAGTTTGGTGGAGGATGCCATCTCCGGGACTGAGATTGCCCCTTATCTTCTGTCTCTGGCTCTCGCCCGCCTGCCTCTAAGCCTCCAGCAGGAGATGAGCCAGTCCGCAGCTGGCTAACTCTTCTCTGGTATTTGCTCAGTCCTTTGTTCTGTGAGCGGGCCCAGCAGTGCCTTAGATTTGAGCTTTTCACAGGAAAATTCTCTCTCCCTCTGTTTTATTTTTTTCCTATCTCTGGCTATCCCATGGTTTTGTGTTGCTATCTCACTTTAGCTCCCTCAGATTGCCCTCAGGGGTTTCAGGCCCAGTCCTTGCCCTAAGCAATGCAGCCTGCGCCTCCCTGTTCAGCCTCTGCTCGCTGATGGTGGACGCAAGCGTCTGGACTACTTCTCTGCTGGGAATTGCGGTTAGGCATGTAATCTGTGGTTTTTGTTTTTCTTTTTTTAATTTTCCTCTCCCAGTTATGATGCCCTCTGAGATTACAAAACTCCCCACAGACCCACCAGTGAGAGGGTTTCCTGATGTTTGGAAACTTCTCCTTCATGTCTCCCTCCCTAGGACAGGTCTCCATCCCTAACTTTCTTGTCTCTCTTTTTATCTTTTGTATTTTGTCCTACCTCCTTTTGAAGAGAATGAGCTGCCTCTCTGGGTGCCTGGTGTCCTCCGCCGGCATTCAGAAGTTGTTTTGTGGAAGTTTCTCAGCATTCAAATGATCTTTTGATGAACTTCTGGGGGAGAAAGTGGTCTCCCCGTCCTATTCCTCTGGCATCTCAGGACCACCCCCCTGCTATCATGATTTTACCTCTTGAGTTTGACATCAGGATGAAGAGAAGGCAAACCACTGGAGAAAGAGTAAATTGCTAGAACTTTTAACAGAAAGCAAATTGGTCATGTATACTAAAAGTCTGAAAAATATGCAGTCTTTGAACCAGCAATTCTATTTCAGAGAACTCATTCTGAGGAAAAAGTTTGTACAAAGATTCAACTACCAGAGTATTCAATACAATATTATTTATACTAGTGAGAAATGAGAACTTCAAAGATAATGGAATATTATTTAGTCATGTTATAACTCTATATAGTTTATAATACATAAAATATAAATATTAATATTATGTGGTTATGTTCATAATACTTTTCATTTAATATGTACATATACATATATATGGAGAAGGAAATGGCACCCCACTCCAGTACTTTTGCCTGGAAAATCCCATGGATGGAGGGAGCCTGGTAGGCTGCAGTCCATGGGGTCGCGAAGAGTCGGACACGACTAACCAACTTCACTTTCACTTTTCACTTTCACACATTGGAGAAGGAAATGGCAACCCACTCCAGTGTTCTTGCCTGGAGAATCCCAGGGACGGGGGAGCCTGGTGGGCTGCCATCTATGGGATCACACAGAGTCAGACACGACTGAAGTGACTTAGCAGCAGCAGCATACATATATATATATATATATATATATATATATATATATGGTTGCATCTTCATAAAAGAACTATACATACACATGCATACACACATTTCTTCCTCTGAATGTGTATATTCTAGGATTTTAATAGTAATTCTCTCTGAAGGAAGAGTTAGGCATGTTCAGAAAAATTTCAGTTTTCTTCCCTCTCTGCTCATGTCATTTCCTAATTTTTCTTCCATAAACATATACTACTTTTATATTAATATAAAACTTTTTCAACAAGGAAAAAGAAATACTGCCCTCTAACATTTATCAGAAAGATCTTCACTATTCACAAATGCACTGGTGGTTGTGTTTGTTTTGTTTCTTTGGTTGGTTGGTTGGTTTTTGAGGCTTTGATTGTTAAGATTGAAGAAACAAACTATAATGATGAACCATGTATTGTATAAAAATTACTTTAGTAACAATAAAGAATTATCTCGATATTTAGTATTAGTCACCTCAGAAAGATTACAACAAAAAAAAAATTCTAAATAGAATCTGAGTAAACTAAAGTGTGAGACATATTTATTTCATTTAAAATAAAGTCATTCTAAATAAGAAATGTTAAGGACCTTCATTTTTATGAACATTCAGATTATTATTCCTCAGTTATAGTCATATATATTTTCTTTTTCAGAGGAAAAAGATTATTATTTGAAAACATTTTCACTTTATTTTAAATAATAAAGCCATAAAAGTAACATGTTTCTATGAGATAACATTGGGAAATGTACCCTTGACTTTACTACCCAGAGATAAACACTAAAAACATTTTGGTGTCCACGCATAGGATTGTAACCAATCTTATATTTAAAAAACAGTTGATCCATGTTTAGGTATTTAAATTCTCTGAAAGTCTGTGCGACTCATGTAATTACATTTTTCTCTATTATTTCTGGCATTTGGGGATAAATATAGTAAAGCAGCATGACCTAGATTACTGTTTATCCATATCAATTGCAACTGGGGCTAATGTTTTTCATCTTGGATACTACCAGAGTTTTCTGCAAAATAATAATAATAATATGATATCAGAAACCCATAAAAATAATACATTCACGTTCCTCTTAACTCTTCATTTCCTCTAGGACAGATATCAGTGGATGGATTTATGCGCTATCTGAGTGGAGAAGAAAATGGTGTAGTTTCACCTGAGAAACTGGATTTGAATGAAGATATGTCTCAGCCCCTTTCTCACTATTTCATTAATTCCTCACACAACACCTACCTCACAGGTATGAGTTTATAGTTCTTTGACAATTATTCTAGCCAGTCTCACCAAATGTCACCAACCTCTGCTTTCTGTTGTTCAAAAGTACAGGTGGATTTCCTTTCACTTCCTGACTAGAGGCTCTTCCATGACTAGAGGCTCTTCCCAAAAGTAACAATATCATTTATTCACATGTCCTTCTTGCCTGGAGATCGCCATGGATAGAGGAGTCTGGCAGGCTACAATCCATGGAGTGGCAAAGAGTTAGACATAACTGAGCAACTAACACTGTAACACACTTCCTATGTTTTCAACTCATCTAAAATGTATCCATGTCTGATATCTTCAGACCAATGGAATTTTTATGTAACTGAATTCATTCTTACAGTGGACTTCAATCCATTTATTATCCTGTCTAGTTCTCTGGACTGTTTTCATCTACAGAAAAGCTCCAAAACCCTAAATAACTTCGGCTTTAAGGTAAATTAATAATTTTGCTCAAAGTGGACAGGACTTTATTATTGCTGTTGTTTAGCTGCTAAGTTGTGTCTGCCTTTTGTAACCCCATGGACTGTATCACACCAGACCCTGCTGTCCATGGAATTTCTCAGGCAAGAATACTGGAGTGGGTTAATGGGTCACCATTTCCTTCTCCAGGGAATCTTCCTGACCCAGGATCAAACCCACATCTCCTGCTTGGCAATCATATTCTTAACCACTGAGCCACCAGGGAAGGGACACGGCTTTAGACATAAGCAAATTTCTTGTGAGCAACAGCTTATACTTTGTTGTAAATATTATAATAAAGGGGGAAAAAAGCAACACTATGTTTCCTAGTCAGTTCAGTTCAGTCACTCAGTCGTGTCCGACTCTTTGCAATTCCATGAATCACAGCACTCCAGGCCTCCCTGTCCATCACCAACTCCTGGAGTTTACTCAAACCCATGTCCATCGAGTCGGTGATGCCATCCAGCCATCTCATCCTCTGTCATCCCCTTCTCCTCCTGCCCCCAATCCCTCCCAGCATCAGGGTCTTTTCCAATGAGTCAACTCTTCGCATGATGTGGCCAAAGTACTTTCCTAACTTGGCCCTAAATTGAGGATTGTCAATTTAGTAGATTGACAATCTAGTTTTTAGTAGATTGTTAAATAGAAAAAATATTAAAATATATATATATTATCTCTACACAGTTTAGAATTAAAAGTTTAATAAATACCAATTTCTATAAGCTAAAAATGTTTTTATAATCATATATTTCTTGCAGAATACTCTCTGATTACTAGCTTTGGAAAGACTGTAAAAAAAAAAAAGACCTACTGGTTAAAAAAAAAAAAACTTTTAAAAACCTTATCGTGCTCTTGCTTCACACAATCCATTATCCAAATGAATATAGGATAGTAAGACCTCAAGACCCATAATGCAAACAAAGTAAAGTCTGGGGTCTCATTTGGTATCTGTAAATGGTAGCTGCTCGCCATGCCTTAGGGGTGGTTCTGGTGCATTTATGCCTTATTGCCTGGGGTCGTGTGGTTTGTGTAGCAAGACAGACCAGCAATGCCGTGTGCATAATGGCAGTGAGATCCAGGCACTAAATATGCGTGGGGTTTTCACAGGGTTCAGCCATCTGACAAATAAGCAGTTCTTTCTTCTAAATTCCTTAAAGAAATCCATTCCTGTAGACATAAATGTATGCTGTGCTGGCATCAAATCCAGCATTGGCCTGATAGCCCATACTTGGTGAAAATAGCTTAGACTAGAAATGCCTCTTAGACAGATAAGTGGCTGCTGGAGAGCTGGAATGGGCACTCTCAGGATGATTCTATATGATCCTAGACCATCTAGTCAGAATCATACGCTGAGTTCTACCATCAGTTGAACTGCAACAGCATGATTTTCTTGAAAACTGGATGGCTCTCAGACTACCTGTGGCCTGTTTTGTTTCAACCACATTACCTACTAAGAGAGACTCAAGGTATAAAACTAATTAGATTCATGTTTGGCTCATCATAAACCCATTCTGGTCATCTCTTCTTGTATAACCAATCACATCAAAACTCATGGGCATAAAAGAGCCACCATTTTATTTTGGTCCATATTCTATAGGTCAAGAACTCAGACAAGGCACAGAGCAGATGGTTTGTTTCTGTTCTCTGTCGTCTTGGGCTCCAGCTGGGAAGCCAATACCCGGGGTGATTTAGACACCTTGGTTGTGGAAATCATCTAGAAGCTTCTCCACAAGCATGTCTGGCACTTGGGTTAGTGACACAATAGCTGGGCTCAGTTAGAACTGCTGACCTAACTGCCTGTAAGGCCTCCCCGTGTGGCTTGGACTTCCTCAGGTTAGGTGGGCGTCTTACATGGCAGCTGTAGCTGCCAAAACAAGTGTTCCAAAGAACACAGAGGAACTTAATGGCCTTTGTGCACTTAGCCTCTGAAGTTCCATACTGTCACTGCTTTATTTGTCAAAAAAGTCACAGCCCTACCCAGTTTCGAGGTAGGGGGTGTAGACCACAGCCCTCAATGGGAGGAATGTTAGAATACTTTTAGTCTTCTTTTAAAATTACTACAGGTTTCATAGCTTCAAGAAGAGAGTCTCCACTTAGCCCACTTTCTTGAATTCAGTTTCCTAGGCTTATTATAAAAGTTTCACAGCTCCCACTCAAATTGTTAAGACTTTGTAAAGGATTTTTTTCCCTCTCAGAGATCCTTAATCTTGTTTGGTGCCATTGATGTATATGGCACTCTGGTGAAGCCTATGAACCCTTCTAAGGATGTTAAATGCATAAAATAATGTATGTAAAATTAAAGAGGAAATAAACTCCATTGAAATATTTTTATCAAATATTAAAAAAAAATTTGTGATACAACTGTGTATATTTTAGTAACATAATTTAAATCATATATATTTTATTAACATAATTTTTAAGACTCATAAATAAGTCATGTGGTATTTGTAACAGTTGAAATATGATATGAAAATGTCTGTGATTTCTAGTAGTTACAAAGTCACAGTCCCACTAATACTACAGTGATTTGTGACCTACATTCATAACTGAAGAGAATGTTAAATTGCACATGGTGCTTTGAGTTGAAGATGTGATCATTTTTCTCATCTAAGTTTGAGGAGGTCTATAGAAGCTGAAGAATTGGCCTGCAATGCAGGAGACCCTGGTTTGATTCCTGGGCTGGGAAGATCCCCTGGAGAAGGGAGAAGCTGCCCACCTCAGTATTCTTGGGCTTCCCTGGTGGCTCAGATAGTAAAGAATCCACCTGCAATGTAGGAGACTTGGGTTCAGTCCCTGGGTTGGGAAGATCCCCTGGAGAAGGGAAAGGCTCTGCCCACTCCAGAATTCTTGCCTAGAGAATTCCATGGACGCTATAGTCCATGGAATCACAAAGAGTCCGACGCAACTGACCGACTTTCACTTTCACTTTCATGGAAGCTCAAGTTAAGAGTCTAGATCTTTGACTTAATAGGATACTAAGAAATGTAACTGTGAAGACTTGGACACATGATTGAATCTTGCATTCATCATATACTTAGGACCACAAAACTCATAAAAATGTATGTTCAGGTGAATTCTAGACGTTGTTTCATCTAGAAGTCACACTATGCAGTAATTTTACAAATAGCCCCTTTTAAGTCCAAAAATGAATATATTTACATCCATTAGTATCTATGCTGCTGCTGCTGCTAAGTCACTTCAGTTGTGTCCGACTCTGTGCGACCCCATAGAGGGCAGCCCACCAAGCTCCTCCATCCCTGGGATTCTCCAGGCAAGAATACTGGAGTGGTTTGCCATTTCCTTCTCCAATGCGTGCATGCATGCTAAGTCACTTCAGTCGTGTCCGACTCTGCGCGACCCTGTGGAATGCAGCCCATCAGGCTCCTCTGTCCACGGGATTCTCCAGGCAAGAGTACTGGAGTGGGTCGCCATTTCCTTCTGTGATTAGTATCTATATTATTTACCATATAATAAAAGAGACAATGGTACCAAAACAATTGAGTCTCAAGTTTGACTGGGTGTGTGTGTGTGTGTGTATATATATCATTATGGACTTAAAGCTTTCAGAGCTTATGTAGATTCACTCAAACACAGCCTCTATTCTCCTTTTGATGTCATATTGTCTCAGCTGTGGTCAGTGGGAACATTTTTTTATGTTGGCTGCTCTCTCTTCTTAACATGACCCATTGATCTTTGAAAATGTCCTTATTTTCTGGCACATAGAGATCTTGCAGACTCACCTTGTTCCTTCCTGCACCATGCATGAAATCAGACTTTTCCCTCAATGAGCCCTTGTTGCTTTTAGTGTGAAAAATATGTGTATGAGTAACAACAATTTGAACCGTGTGCTATGGAATGTTGTTTCTGGACCATTTCATTGAACAAAGCAAGAAAAGAGACTTTTTGTTTTCTTGTGAAGGCACAAGAGTTCACTTAATGATTTCTATTCCTTCCAATTTAAATTCTTGATTCTATAGCCGTGCTTCCTTTATCAGTCTTGATACCTTGCAAATTATGCATAATCATTCATTTGCTTTAATGGCAACAGAATAATAACAGTAAGAAAGTTGTTCGATATCAATGCAAATAGTAAAACTACAAAATAGTGTTAAATTTTTCTCAGCAGCTCTGTTTTTTTAATTGCTTTTTGCTAAGTATTTTTAATCCAATTAATTTCTTCACTTGCCCTCCCTCTGATTAACTTGTTTAAGTACATATGAGGTAGAGAACTTGGCTCTTTTGTGTCAGTTGGGTTTGGGATGTTAGCATATTAATGGCCAATAGTTTTCAGAAAGTGAGTCATCTACTAAAAAAGTGAAGGGTTCACTATTTTTAATTGAAGAAAGAACTCCAATAGCTATCTCCAAATTTCTGAACAATGATTTCATATCACCACCATCTGATATACATGATTTCTGACCAAGTATATCAACTCTCCCCAACTTTTAAATTTCTAGTAGTATTAAAATTCACATATTTTTAAACATTCAATTTTTAAAACTGTTACCTATGTTAGAT